AAAAAAAGGAGAATATTCTAGCAAAGGAACCGTGCAAAAGTACATTGAAGATTTCCTGGAATCTGTACTATTTCTGGAATCTTCCACCTATCCACCTATACTCAAGCGGGTCTTTGACTTACTTGAAGAAGAAGCAGCTAGGAATGGGGTAAAATCCCTTACACTATAATTATATGACTTAGAATTTTTCTTCTCTTTTAAGATAACCGATCATCAGTTGGTGCAGCAGTGGAAATCAAACTTGTATATATTACGAGTTTGGGTACATCTTATCAAGAATCCGAAAATTTTACTAGACGTCTCGGAGTCCATAAGCCAAGATGGCAACTTGTCTGTTGTCGCACAGACATTGGTGGGTGTAATTTTGTAACACCTGATTTTCGCTCGTTAATATCTTTCTCTTAGGTGGATTGCTTCTCCTTTTCTGAACAGTCGCTAGGGGCTCATTCGCCCAGCTCTAGGCTGCTATTTGCAAAGGTCAGTGAACGACTCCGCCCTACTTTCTACTATCACTTAAGCTTGTCTTCTAGGAAGTTGCACGCCTTCGACCTCTGTCCACCGACCTCTTCAGAAGAATTCGAAGGCAGCCACCAATATGTGAAGAAACGTTCACTGAAAGTTTAAATGAAGTTGCTAATGTGAGTTTATTACTTCAAAATAACTATGCTTCTCGAATATTTTCTAGGATCTTCGGGACTGCACTCGTTCCACAGTTGCTTTATCTGAACTACTTACGTGGGTACGAGGGAACGGCGTTCGTTTGATTGAAGTAAGTCAATTTTTTTAAAGTATAGAGCCTAATACCCAAACTCGCTATCTTCAGGTTCTTTCATCAAATGAAGTCTGTACCTCACAGCGCTTGCCATCACGATTATCTCAGGTTATCAACTTGTCACTCGATCCCTCAGATCACATTTACTCCACTATACTTGACGACGCCTGAGCATTCTCATACCGGTTACTGTAAAGTTTACGTCATATCGTCGCCACGGGTCAGGGTTGTATGTGACCCTTTAAAGATTACTCGAAGAGCATAAATAGTGTATAAGAGATGAATTTCAATTTGGAGGAAAATGGTTTCGTTGAGATCGCTGTAGCTAGCATTCTCATTCTAGTCTTTCACTTGCCTGCCGA